AAGTATACATACGTAAATGTGTTATTTGCGGAGAGACAGGCCATAGTAAAGATAGTTGCCCTAATAGACAGATAGCACGATCTAATTTCAATCGGTCTGCTTATTTTAAGCCTCTTACGCCTATAAATTTCCAAAACACACCCCCAGATTCGGATAATGAGGAAGAAGGTTATGATGAAGAAAATAATAGGTGGACTGGGTATGATCCACTGGAAAAAAAAAACAGGTACCAATAGAAAATAACAAGCCTGAAACGTATAATCAGCTATTGTCTAAGCTTTCACCACCGATACGAAAAATGTGCTTGTCCCGAAAGGCTCTGGAGAAGGAGTCAAAAAAATCAGATGAGTGGTCTTCATCTTTACAGTACTTGCATTGTAATATAAATGATCTATCGATTCCTGATTCTTTTTTAAATACTGGAAGTGAATTCGGTATTTTAAATGATCCAGCAATTCACGCACTTGGATGGAAGATTGATGAGCCATCCGATTTTGCTATAAAGGGCAATTCCAAACATATTACCGATTCGTTAGGATGGTACACGGATGTGCCGGTTACTATGAAGGACAAAGAGGGAAAGATAGTCACGGTCATTGGAAATTTTGTATGTATAGATAATGGCAAACCTGAACCAATGCTAATTTTAGGTATGTCTAATATTCGAAAGCTCCAAGGTGTTTATGAGCCAAATAAAAACCAGTTCCGCATAAAGTTACATGGGAAGACTTATGTTATTCCAACATATAGCAAGGCCCCAGTAGCTAAAGAACCGTCAAAAGAGGAGCAGAACCAAGTATCTACTGATTCCTCTAGCCTGATTAGTGAAGACTTAAAAAAAAGTGTGTAAACTGCATAAATTATGCTTTAGTGCCTTTGGGTGAGGATATGGGAATTCGTGTAAAAGAGCTTGAAAAAGCACTATTTTCTAGCATTCAATCGAATTTGGAAATTATAGGATACTACAATATTTTGCTTAATCGATATGAAAAGATTTTTCTAGAACCAAATAAGGTTGAATAATTATTTAGAAATAAGAGCACGTCCAGATGCTCTAATTTTCTCTATTTCAGAACTAGTTCTCTTATATAAATCCAAGACATCTTCGGAGGATTCGGTAGACGAAATAATTTTTTTTGTTCCAGGCATTGGTTGATTCTGAGTAATAGTTGCTTTAGAGGTGCTAGTGGACTTGGTATGATCCCCTTGGGACCGTTTCTTTCCTTTACTCTTTTTTGTCTTACTATCTGCACTTTCTTCTGAAACTGGATTAGTATATTTGCTAATTTTATCATCACGTATCT